TCCGGACCAGCTGATTTAAATACGTCCAGTCCCTCCAGAAGTTCCCTGACTAAATCCTCACTGACCCTTGGCCTAGGTGCGCCTCCCCTGGGGTCTGAGGGGGGCCCAGTGGGGGGACTGATTTGGTCCCTGCTCAGGAAAATGGAGGCAAAGAAGTTGTTAATAGGTTAGCTTTGTCATCTGGTGTGACAACCAGGTTTCCTAGCGTGTCTTGCAGGGACTCATCACTATGGTGCACACTTGCCAGGGAATCCTGAGTGTCCTCTTTTCATTTGTATGCTAAGTGGCCTCACATTTTGCTGTAGGAGTACATATATTAGTATCATAGGAAAGCAAGGCTGGAAGGGACATCACAAAGTCATCTAGGTCAGCTCCCTGCTCGAAGCAGGATCATCCCTGACTAACCGGTCCCAGCTAAGTGTATGTCTAATCTGCTGTTGAAGGCTTCCAAGGATGGAGATCCATAACTCCACAAGGCAGCCTGCTCCGGTGCTTCACCACTTTCACACTCAGGAAGTTCCTCCTAATCTCCAATTTAAATGACACCTTCTGAAGCATGAGACCATTTAGCCTGTCCCCTACAGTCACAGAGAAAGACCCATCTCCAGTCTCTCTGTATATACCCTTCAGGTATTTGAGCAGTGCATACAGAATTTCAGAGGTCAGACATGCCCGAGTCCCATTTTTTATTTACTCTAAGTAGCTGTTCATCCAGTTGAATTGTGCCACTTAATGGAAAACTTTAAATGGGGGGAACTAAATGTTCTCCCATACCTCCAATACCCAAGTACTGTTATGTGCCATTCAAATAGACCTACATTTTGAGACAAAAACTGTAATTTTGTGCTTCTGCAGTGAAGCCTCAAGTGCCATTTCAAGGCTAGGGCCATTTCAAGGCTGTTTCCATAATTACTAGCTTTACTTAGATTTACCGATTTTTTTCCTGATAGGAATGTATTTATTTTACTTTCTTAAATGTACATAAATTCTCTTAGGCATTTATGATCTGTTTTCAGAAACAGACTGTACCACTAGATGTATTTAGCTTAAACCTGGATAGATTTAAGCTAACTACAGCTGTGCTGGGAGAGAAAAGCTTTTTTTTTCCACAAAATAGACAGAGGCCAACTATAACCCTGAAAGTAAATGGATATTTAGCAGTAACTTCAATAGGAGCAGGATTAGCCTTCATGCACCAGGTGCCTTCTTTGAAACATGGGCTGCCTACACATGTTCAAATGACCTGAGAGAATTCTCCCAGGTTAGTTTTCCTGGTACAAAAAGTTACCTAGAGACACCTGCACAGACACTTGAGTACTGAGCCCTTGAAGAGCAAAGCGCTGGTGGTGCTGATACTGCACAGCCAGGGGGTCCCTGTGCACTCATCTCAGAACACATCTGTGCTTCCCCAGTTTGCCTGGTGACGCACAAGGCAGCTCTGACTGGCTGACTTAGACTGCTCAGTCAGCCTGTGTCTCCCTGCAGCACAATATGGGATCCTGAAGGGGGCATGTTCTGCTCCCTGCTCAGCTGGAGTAGTAAAGTCCAGCCCATGCAGCACACTGTCTCCCTGGTGGTGGGGGAAGCAAAGCTCCCTGGGATGCTGAAGGACTGTGCTGCAGCTTGTCTTAGAAGAGAACATAGACAAACATTCACTCACCCAGGAGAAGCTCTCCTGGGAGTGATTTCACCCTGGTTGTTTCCATGTTATTTATCTTCTGGAGCAGCTATTTTTGATCTGGGAGAAAAATCCTGAACATCTGTACACTCATGGCTTCTCCTGGGAGAGCAGTGACTCTCCCAGGAGAAACTGAAAGTTTGTATGTGACCTGAAGAAGAGCAGCTTCCAGGCAGCAAAATGCTCTTTAAAAGCACCACTCCAATACAGCTCCCTAAATGGTAGGATAGCCAACCACAGAAGAGTTACTCCACTGGAGAGAGATTTTCAGATGCTATTGAGTTAGCATAACTCCTACCCTTCCCCCGGCTTCTCAGCCACCAGTATAAGGTGCATTGTCAAAACAGCAGTTGCATGCTAGAGATTTCTCTTTGGCTGCCACGTTAGGAAATGCTGGCAGTTAGCCTACAGGCTGCTCTAGATTATGCCCAGAGGTTAGGCCACTCAGCTCTGGATCAGGAGGAAGTTTTAAAAGCCACTAAAATGTAGTTCTCCACAGCAAGTGGTAGCAAACCACAGACACAGTTTGATTTCCCTTCCTTAAAGGAAAATGCAAGGATTAAAAACATGGTGGGATCTGAGTAGAGAATGAAGACGTACAGGGAGACGTGCACCTATATGCAGTTGCATCATGCTCTCTCCGTAAACGGTGCTCCATCCACCAAAACAGAAGTGAGTTGACAACTAGTCAGTATCACGCCCATTAACATAAGATCAGGTCCTTCTCCCCAGCCTGCCCTACCTTGTGTTTGCATGGGCAAAATCCTGTGTCTGTGATGAGCTAGAAGGAGCCCTTTGCTTAGGCTTGTTGGGAATCGTTTACTCACTCGACCCGTGGGCAGAGTCCCAGGATGGCAGGGTGAGCAAGTTGTTTGTCCACTGCATTCTGCAAACACAACCACAAGTTCTGTGCAGGCCGTTTGTGCGCACACACCAACTCATGCTCACTCTCACGCTTGCTTTATCAGATACATGCACCAGTCAGATAACTGCCAGCTCCTGCATGAATGGGAAAATACAGGGTTGCCCTCAAAAATGGGCTTACCCATTTGACAGGACAATTCATGAGACGTGGTGGAAGGTTTGGCTTTGTTTGATACATCGACTCCATCAGCGCTTCTTAAGGAATTGCATCCTTATTGCTTAAGACTTCAATAGGTAGAGCCCCATACTGAAAAGATGTGTTGCTTTAAAAATAAAAGAAGATAAATGTTTGAGGAGGGTGACTCACACCACGAGTGACAGGCCTTAATTCACCTTCTGGCTATTAACTGAAAATCTTTCCCTAGTACAGTGTATACTCATGTTTAAATACAGATGATTGATCGCTATAGCAACCCCTTTATCACCCGAAACACATTCTGTCTCGGAGATAAAAAGCACCTTTGAACAGAAATGCACACGCACTCCCGACGTGAGGTAAGGTGAGCCCTGGCAAGGTTTTTTTTTAATCTTGTTTTATCAAGATAAATGTTTTAAAGAAGCAAGGAAAAAATGGTTGCTTGTGAATTAGTTTGCACCAGTTTCATGGTGCGTCTTCATAAAAACATTGGAGTCCAAAGCGAAGATAAGGTAACAGTACTTTAGTGGGAGATCCACACAGGAAGAGGAATCAAAATGTGTTTGATCTGACTCTTTTTCTGTATCCTCACTTCTGTTGTTTTTCCTGTGAGCAAAAGGAAGAAAAGAAGCATTTGCTTGAGTAGATCAGAAAATGGGACTTCCCTCCCATGAAATATTTCAGGATTTTACATTTTTTATTATCATTGTCATGATCATTTTATTATCATATGCAGTGAGACAGCAGAACAGACGGAAATTTTGAAATTTCCCGCAGAACAAAAATTCCCCCAAATGTTGATTTGAAACGATCGTAATATTTTGATAATGTTACATTTCGAAGTTGTAAAAATGCTTCATTTAAATGGGGTGGGAAGTAAAAATGAGTTCTTCTGCACTGTAGCCCGGGTGAATCAAAACAATAAAGTTGAAACTTCATCACATTGAAACAAAACACTTAACTGTTCGTTAAATGAAAAAAGAAGGTAAAAATGATTCCATTTGACCTTCTTGCTGTGTAAAATTTTGGCAAAATCAGTGCTCTCCTACTAATCAGAAAACTTTTCTGTTGGAAATGTTGCGAGCAAGTTCTTCTGCTCATGAGATTGTGCAGCAGACAGATCACAAAATCTGATGGTTAGCTAGGACTGGCCTCTCAGGAAACCGCATGATGTTTGGATTCGAGGTTTTTGGAATAACTAGTGCCTTGCCAAAACACAAGTGCAAATAGAGACATTTTATTTGAATTGGGACCTTTAAAACCCAACTCCACTCCTGTATGAATGCATGACCATATAATGTTCCCAAGGTAAGAACTGAATTGGCATAACGGGTACAGCACACAAGGATTAAGTGATGGCTGCATTCTCATTGCAAATGGGACTGTGTGATAGAGGTGTTACTTTATTGTTAGAAAGTCCAACTATTTCTTCAAGGCATTTAGCTGACTACTCTGTGGTTCTGTCTTGCTGGTTCTGCCATGCTTGTGAACCTTCACACCTCCACTGATCTGTGGGTGTTGTGGATATCGTAGTAATTGTATAAGAACATATTTTTATGCCTTAATTAATTTATTCTTTATCTGGCAGGAACATGATGGAACGCACAATCTTCCAGCTCATCACAGCACCCGTGAGCCCATCTCTAAATGCGGTGACCTAGACATCACCTTTGATTATAAGGCCTCAAGCCAGAAGCTGGTGGTGACTATCCTAGAGGCAAAGGATATCCCAGACAAGGACCGTAGTGGTGTGAACACGTGGCAAGTTCACACTGTTCTGATGCCCAGCAAGAAACAAAGGGCGAAGACGAGTGTGCAGAGAGGACCCACTCCTGTGTTCAAGGAGAAGATGACCTTCAGCAAGGTGGAGCCAGAAGAGCTGAGTAACTATGCGCTCCGGTTCCGTCTCTATGCTGTGCACAAAATGAGCAGGGAGAAGATGATGGGGGAGCAGTTGTTTTACTTGAGCAACCTCAATCAGGAGGGAGAAATGAAGGTGACGCTGGTGCTGGAGCCCCGGAGCAACCTGAGTGTAAGTCTATTTGAAAGGAGAAGAGCCTTTCTCAACACAGTGTCACTGGATTAGGGAGGGGGTGCAGTAGGCTTGGCTAATCCTTTGAGCTGGGGAATGGCAGCCTGTGGCCCGCATGCTGCATCCAGCCCACCAAGCAATATCATTGGTCTCATGAAGGTGGGATACTGACAGCAGTTTGGCAGCAAAAGAAACAGCTGCTGGGTCAGGACTGCAGAGCTGGACAGGAGTGGCTGCTGGGTCAGGAACCAGCGAGGAGAGGGGTGCTCATATTCAGAGCAAACTGCACTACTGTGGGTAGCTTCTCCTTAAGTGATGGCGGCCCCTGCTTTAAGCCGTTTGCTCAGGGTTCCCAACACACCCGCCACCACTCAGCTCCCGGTTGGCATCCTCCTCGCAATCAGTGAGCGTCACCCTGAGTCAGTGCAAGCTTTGTGCTCTGCTCCATGGTATCTGACAGGACCCTGTCATACGTCAAGCACTAACTTTGTAGGTAGTTGGCTCTTTTTATAGCTGGATGGACATTTTTATGGTGTGATCATTACTTTGCATGTGTGGCCAGTCTAAATTTATTGCGCAATTAACCAGTGAATGGCGTAATATATGTAACGTGTGGCAGGAGCCACACATTAGCTCACCTTCTCTGTCATAATTTCCAGCGGGGGAGGCACATTTTTTAAGTATTGTTTCTTTCTTTCTTTTCTTTTTTTTTTTTTTTTTTTTACATAAAACATTATTCTCCTTTGTGGGTATTTGGGACTGGCTCTTTCTGCATGACTTTTCAGCCTGAAAAAGAAAAGGCTGAGAGGAGACTTAGTAGCAGCTTACCACTACATAAGGGGAGTACATCAAGGGCTCAGTGAACAATCGCCTACCCTGGAAATCTTTAAGGGGAGACTGGACAGTCACCTTGCTGAAGTCACCTGACCCCAGGTGTCCTTCATGCCTGATGCAGGGGGCTGGACCTGATGATCTTCCAAGGTCCCCTTCAGCCTCACAATCTATGAATCTGTGAGCCTGTCGAGTGTTGGTTAGAGGTTTCAGAACTAGGTACCCAGTTGCTACCACAAAACGCAGTCACAGCCACAGGCTGGTTAGTGCTTATGAAAGGTGCTGCAGTACACACAGCCCATGTTTCCATGTTTTCAACCCCAAGTACTTCACATTCATGAGTGCATGTGTTCCAACATTTGGATACTTAATTTTCCTAATCTGGCCCTGACCATCTTGGGCAGCCTCTTGTATAACCAGAGAGCTTCCCAGCTTGTAGAGAGTCCTTTTGTATAGACTGTGAGCATAACCAGGCTGGGGCTTTAGAAGAAGCCTAAGGGAATGTGGTGCCTCACTTGTATGGGATGTGGGTGCTTCTCTCCTTTAGACTCCACTGAAAACCACATCTTCAAATCCCAAATGGTTATCACATATTATGGCATTGTACCAGGATCATTACCGTGTCATCATTGTGCTGCCAGATACCTAAAGCATGCAAAAGCCTGTGAAAACCCAGAGTGCTTTTTTCAAAGTAGAGATATGTGGGAAGAGTGAGGTGTTTCCTGTTGGGGGTGGGAGGGATGTTGTAGCTGTGATAGTCTGAGTAATACCCAAGAGGCAAGGGTTTTTTGGTGGACCAACTGTAGAGAACTATACAGTTGGTTGAATGTATGATATAACCAAAAATATCCATGCCTCTCGTTTTTACTGTGCTGTCAAGTTGGGGGGGGGTCTTTTAATGTAGCCAGTCATTTTTTTCTTCTGTGTCCTGAGTGATGATGGCGAAGGAACCATCCGTTTTCTCCAAAAGCAAATGGAAAAAGAAAAAGAAACAGGCCAATTTTTGTGTTACTATTCAGTCCTTTGGTTGTAACAATAATAATAATAACAGATAACCTTTCCCTTGAAGGCTTTGTCTACACTGAAGAAAATCACTTTGATTCCAGAATATAGTTTCTGCATGGGGTGCTATTCTGGACTGTTTAATATGTTATTCCACAGTAGCTATCTGTGTCACTCAGTTTCCTGGTACAGACGAGTCCTAAGTTTTTTCACCCTATAAAGGAAACTCCTTATGAGATTAGGCACATAAAATGAATAATAAATCATCTCCCAGGTTGAAGGAGAAGGGAACATGATGCCAACAAGGAAGAAAGCAAGGATATATGGAGAAAGTGTCAAAAAAGAGAAGATTGTGCGAGACACATTCCATCAGAAAGCAATTTTCAGGGAGATTTACTCTCCAGTTGATGCACTAGAATGTATGCTTATCTCAAAAGCTTTGATTTACGCCAGTAATAATACATTAGGCAGGGCTCCTGGTCTTTAGAGAGAGAGTGTTGAAGGATATGTTTCTGCAAAATACCGCTGTGATTTGGTCTTCTGCCCCATTGTTTTCGTGCAGCTGATTCCTGATCCTGGGTACCTCTTAAGAGGAGATCTTTCCCAAATTAGACTACAAGGTGTAAATTCAAGGGGAAGAGGTGTGAAGCATTCCAATGACATTCTTTGGTCTTCTTTCTTGCAGAGCGGAGACTCGCAGCTTAGTCTGTCGGCCATCTCCCACAGCGATAGTGCTTCTTCAACACAGTCCCTGTCACACGGAGGGGTGCCAGAGCTGCTGGTGGGGTTGTCATACAACGCTACAACTGGACGGTTGTCAGTAGAGATGATCAAAGGCAGCCATTTCCGAAACCTCGCTGTTAACAGGCCGCCTGGTAAGTGAAGTCCCCTGTCACATCGCCTGCTTTTCATCCAGGGGGTTGGCTATTCGTATAGGGGGTTGGACTAGATGTGACCTCCTGAGGTCCCTTCCAACCCTCACTTTCTATGATCTGTGCCATCAAGTCAGAACTTTATTTCCTTGAGGCCAGTTTTCAGCATTTGGATACCAAATTACAGATTTTGCCAGTTCAGGAGCAAATTAGAATTTTACGTTTGATCGTAATAATTTTTTAAAATCCTAATATATATGTTGATGAATTTTCCAGTACAATCTGACTAAGAGTCCTATGATACAGCCCTCACTGCTGTTACCTAAGTGCCTCAGAGTCTTTAATGCATTTGCCTTCTCAAAGCCCCCTTGAAGGAGGGAAGTGCTATTAATGCCATTTTACAGATAAAAGACTAAGCCACAGAGGGGCTAGGTGACTTGTTCAGTCTTCACGGCCAGTCGGTCCCTGGCTTCCTAGCTGAGGCTCCCGGGTGCTGTCTACAGAGGAGGTATGTGTCGTGATGTAGTTACCTGCCTACTGGGAGCTGGCTGAAGCCCCTTTCACCACAGACACCAAACAGCCCCCTTCTAGCAAACGTTTTAGGATGCTCCTGCCTTGCACTAGATCTGAACTTGGGATTTATAGATCAAAACTCTTTGGGGCCTTGATCTTGCAAGGTGTTGCTTTGGCCCTCGTTCAACACAGCACTTAAGCAAATACTGCAATTTACAGCTGTGAGCACATCCATGGGAAGGCTTCGGCGCCTCGCTGGACTGCAGCCAGAGTGCTCTGCACTTTGCAGAATTAAGCCCCCTCTTCTGTCGCCAGTCCCTCAAGAGCTAAGGGCACGTTTACACAGCAGTTGAAGGAGTGAGTGAAGCTTATGTAGATGTTAACTGAGCCAGCTTTTAACTAGCTTATTACTGCTAGCAATATAGCTATGGTAGCTCAGTGTTGGCTGGCTCCCAATATCTATTCTGCACCTTGGGCATGTTTTGCAGCACATACTGAGCTCTGTTTTGCCAGTTATGCTGATATCAGGACCTGAAAGCTGGCTCGCTCACTCCTTTGATGGCAGCCTACATGTACCCACATCTGTCTGTCACAAATTCAGGGTTCCTTGCAGCTTTTCTGCTCTTCCCAAGTGTACCTGTCACAGGTCTTGATAGAACCCCTTGCTCTTTCCTGCCTCAGGACAGGATTCCTCTTCAGTCAGCCGTGGGCTACAATGCCCTGTGTGTCAGCTGCACATCTGATTTGACTCAAGCACTTGAAGTTCTTTCCTTTAGGAGCCAGGGACCAAACAGACTCCATAAAGCCAAAGTATTGCTGATTTCTCAGTAGGAAACTAAGCACTGGAAAAAAAAACCAGTATAGACAGGCTATGCGCATGTCTGTCTTCCTACCATCCTCTGATGGACACACAACTTTTCCAGACATCCCGAGTAGGCTTTTGTTTCCAAGTCTGGTTCCCTAGTTTGCTGCCCTTCCCCAGCAGTGTGTCATCACTGAAGAGTTAACTCTAGTGATCAATACTTACTTAACCTACACTTAGATGTGAGCAGCCAGACTACAATGTTCAACTTGGGTAATCAATGGTGCTACATCCAGAGATGTGTCACTAGGACTTTTGGAGACAGTACCCATGCCTCGTTGGGTTGCAGTATACTGACCCAGGCTGATTCTTTCCCAGTGAACTGTGGGAGGACGTGTCTGTACTGGACAAGGAATGGGGAACTGGAAGATTTTCAGTACACAAGTGATTTAGCCTTTATTGCCATAGCAAAGTAGACATAAACTACCAGCCTAAGTGAGTGTTTCATTCAGGTTTAGCTAATAATCCCAGATGAGACCTCTAGCTTGTATCAAAAGCATGATTCTACCTCAGTGAGGGGTTGATGTGCAAGGATGGGAGCAGGTTAAGGGGAAAATCTCAGTAAGAACCCAGTAGGAACATCCTGAGTTCTTGGTTCTTCTCTGTGTGCAGGGCCTTGGTTCTTTCTGGGTTAACCAGCTGTGTTGGCTGGTCAGAGTTTGCAAAATTGTCTGGCATTGTCCATTAACATCTGGTAAGCGCTTGCTGCTAGATGACTACCTTGACTCATTCTTCCCCTTCCTGCTTGTACCAAACAGACTCTTATTGAGTTAAACCTGTATATATATATTCATGTAGTAGACAGGATACCAATAATCAGACAATGTACAGGAATTCATAAGTTATTACAGGGCAGCTTCATATCCATCACAACCTGCTTCTTGCCTCCAAAGTCATAGTGTATGATTATTTTCCATTCTGTACTGAATTTACAGCCCTGTAAAGTTTCCGGTAACATGATGGGAGGAAAAAATCTGTTCAGATGGAGACAGTCCAAATTCGAACTGGCTCTCATAGCCATTGCTGATGTTACAGTGGAGCACTGTGGGATGCAGGCTGCTGCACTCTGGATGAGAGCTTAAAGCAAGGGTTGTGAAGGAGGGAGTGACTAAAAATCCCAGCTCGCTTGCTGTTGAAATGTGAGGTAGCCTTGGTTTCCTGGTTGGTACTTCTCTCCCATTCAGTTGTTCTGGGTGGGGGGAATGAGCTATTTTTGACAGCGCAGTGGGAACTTCAAGCATTACTGTGCTTGTAAAGTGTTGTGGAACACCTGAAGTGTGTAAAGGGCTGGAAACCCAACCTGCTACTCAGAGACACTCCTGCAGGACGGGAGCGAGCGGCATACTGCATGTAAACTCCCATGCCCTAGCCCTGCTGGCTCAGGAGACGGGAGAGAGGAGTGTAATGTTTACTCGCCATATGGCACTTGGCAGATGCTCCAGGGAGGCGACACAAGGGATGAGAACTTCCCACACACACAGATTGCACAGTAGCTGCAGAGCGACTCAGTGGAGATTGCTGCAGCCCAACGGACAGCGTAGCTTCTGCCGCCTCTTTGACACGTGCACACACGCACACCTGTTGCCCCCACCCCAGTGTGGGAGGAAACAGCGGGGAGCTCTGCACAGCCATAAATCCTTTACTCCATCCCTGCCTCCGCCCTGCTCTTGACCCCATGCACAAGGAAGCTCCCTGCCTTGGGTACAACAAACAGGCCTGTATGCAAGCCCTGCCTCATGCACGGGGGGAACTGCTGCCTCGGGGGCTCCCAGCAGGTAGAGGGGACTGGATTGACAGTGTTTTGGAATAGCAATGTCCTAGGTTTAAAGCTTTTGCCCTGGGATCCTATAGACATTGTCCCACTTACGTGCATGTGAAGTACCTAGGAAGTACTGAGATATTTTTTGGGGGGTGGGCAATCCAGACAAATTTAAGTTAGTTGCCATCCAAGCTGCCTTGGTGACTGTTCTCTGCACCTGTTTTGATGAGAGTCAAAGCCTGGGGCAATCAGACGTGGGATAGACCAGTCTGTTTTCAGCTGTGCAGTCTGCAAGGGCTCCAAGGGACATGGGTTTGAGTTAGGAAAAGGGCTTTTTTTTTTTGCTGGATTTACCTTGCACATTATCAGAGGTTTAAAAGAATGTTATTGACAGTGGAGTCAGTTAAATATGGAAACCATCATTGTTTATCCAGCAAAAATGGAGGGATCCAGCAGCATACTGATGGGTACATTGTAGTGAGCATGTACAATGCTGAGGTTAGCTATAGGCGCACATGAGACATTCTAAGAGGCTTGAATCTCTGAGGGTTGAAAGTAGTTTGGGTCAGGAGTGAGTGCAAAGAGGGGCCCAACTCTGTACTCTTAATTCACGTGAGTCACTCTGCTACCTCCGCAGGGCACGTGGAACAACTCCTGAAGGCAAGGCCACAATAGCAGGCCTCTGACAATGAGCATGAGTGTGTGTGTGTGTGTGTAAGAGAGAGAACCTCCACTCATTATTTTGTTGTGCTTTTCTTACGATGCATCTCTTTGAGCGCTGACATCTTCGGGTACAGGCAGATGTAACAATTGTCTTGCTATCAGAGGAAACGGATGCAAGCTGTTCTGATACAGCTGGTGTGTCTGCATGATTCTGTAATGATACCAGCAGAGCAAAACTGCACCAGCTTTAAACCTGCTTCACTTAGAGTCGGGGCAGCTTAGCTCACTTATATCCCTACAGGCTCAGGCACATGTAACGGTTAGGTCGGGGTATCAAGCTCACCCTGACTTCTAGACCAGGTCTGGACCCAGCAGTGGTGTGAGAGGTGGCGCTGGGTTGGCACAGCTATCACTTGCTCTCTTTTGCCTCCAAAGGTCCCTTATCCCTGAATTCTCTAGCAGGCTTCCCCCTGAATTCCTGGGCCCGTGACAAGCCCCACAGGCCAGAGGAAATGACTCTGGGGGCCAGATATGGCCCACAAGCTGTATATGTGACACCCCGAGTTAGGTAAGATCATATACTGAACACTTTCAAGCATCAAATCCCTCCCCACTTTTTAAAGCAGCTGAAACATATGTTTGTCTGTCCTTTCAGTATCTTATATATGGTCTAATACCTCACCTTATTTAGTCCTTCTACAAATCATCACCTTGTGCTAATATTTTGCTCTGTTATATAAAGGGAGAACTCTTCTTTCCTTCCTCCACGTTCTCCTAATTTTGTTAGGGACTGAGGATGGTTCTGGGGTTTATATTTTTGTCCCTTGCCTTTCATGAAGGATGTACTCACAAAACAGGCATCCTTTGGAAGTGAATCATGGCTGTGACCTGCAACCTTGATACATGTTCTTGCTATTATGTAATATTATTAATTGTGGTAGCACCTGGGACCCAAGAAGAAAGCCAAAAAGATCCATTATTCCCAGCAGCACATAGACACAATATAGATAGTCTCTGCCCCCCTGCTAGACATTTCTGGTGCCCTGTTTGATGTCACTGTTTCTTTGCAGTCTTCATTCCTTCCCCTTTGCCATTTCTTTGGGGGATTTACGTTAATGTAAAAGGCAGCTTGACAAAGACTATTGTGAAGACGTCCTCTCTAGTAAGAAAAAGCATCACCGTTTTTCAGCAAGTGCAGGATGATTC